GATCACAATTCCTCGTGGGAATGATACTTTACTTACTACTATATTACTTGTCGATCGCGTACACTTGCATGAGTGTTTTGGTCGCAACATGTATAATTAAAAGTAGTAATATTAATAACTATATAAAATCATATATTTTTTCAAACTATTTTACAAAAATATTCCACTCAAAATACCTTATCAAACGCATATAACGGTGTCAATGTTGTTAAACTTACGGGGTGTAACATCTTTCCCCCCTTTAGAATATTCGTCCTCGAATTTTAATTCTTGAAGATCTGCAAAATTTTCACTAGAGTCTCCTCTGTAAATTAAACTAAAACTCAAACTATATATGAAGTCTTGATTATTCACAACCTTTTGTACTTGAGTATCTCGTTTCTTCTTCACCTTTACCTTACTTACCTTTCAATCTCGCATCGTATCTTCTGTTTCTTTTGTAAACTCCCTTCAACATAGGTGGAAATTACGCCTTAAAGCTCTACTTTGATACCTGAACCTCTGGTGCATACAAAATCTGACGACAACATCATACTGACTTCTCACGGCTCAACTCTATGGCACAATCTAGAAATAAAAGAATGAAAACATTTTCTAAATGCCCTATAGCATCTCAATTATAAATGTGGCGCAACACCCATAAGTGAGACTCTACTAGGCACGGCTTCGTAGACTCCCTAGGACACGAACTGCTCTGATACCACTTTGTCATGCCCCAACCTTGGGAGGTGTGGCTGGCACCCGGTGCCGCACTGGCCCGAGCGAACCAATCTAAAACTTATTCGTTCCTTTTGTAATTGTCATGGGCCGACATGGCCACAACTCGTAATCTACAATTGTAAGTGGACAACATTGTATCACTGAACCATTTTACTTAAAATATGAATACATATGGGCCGTCAAGGCATCTTACATATTGTACAAAATGAACCTTTGTCTACAAAGCCTCTAAGATTATTCGACATTAAATAGGACAGGGTACTGGCCAACCCATAATTCTGTAGCAAAACTCTGACACGATGACTCATAGACTTGGTTGTACTTCGAAAGAGGTGGAGTCTTACCGATTATTCGTTAAATGTCAATCTCGTCTACTATGAGGGCTCGTCAAACTGATTATCTATACTTGCAGGCATGAATGCAGCGTCCCCACCAAAAGGACGTCAGTATGAATAATGTACTGAGTATGTAGGGCAATATAGTGAAAACTGAAACTGAACTAATAATATAATAACTACAAGTAGCTGGAAGTAAAAGATAATCTGAAGATATGCTTACATGCTAATACTGACTCAACTCTCTCAATATATTAAGTAAAATAGTTGTCCGGCCCTATAAGGCTCGGTATATGTATAACTGCTCTGCCATAGTAGGCTCGCTCATAGGCGCTCGGACATACTAGGCTCTGTATCTCAACCAACTTGGCTTGCTCATTAGGGTTACTATGACTTATCCTAATATTAAAGTACGGGATGTAACATAAATAACATAGACATCCTTTTCTCAAAATAATAATCAAGATTTAAAAGGAAGTAGGCCCCCTTAATTTAAGGAGAAAAATTGTTTATTTTACTAAACCTTGGTTACTAACTACGTGCTAGTATGTTTAGACAAGTATTGATACAAACAATTCACAGCTGATAATAGCCATGTATTTCGATTAAGCCATAATCCACTAGAGCAACTTATTCTGATGATAACTTTCTTAATCTACACTGGTTAGTATACTCAATCGTCATAACTTATCATTTTGCCGACAAATTATCTTCCACTCAATTACTACAAGAAGAATGAATAAACAGAAGTTGTACTAAACGTTAACAAAATGTTCAATAACACCAAATATGAAATCATTTGTGAAGCAAATATAACATGATTTTAAAGATGTAAGGAGTCAAAACTACAATTTCAGGAACACCGTCACCGTAACCCGGTGCTTAATAGAGGTCTACTTATTCAACCTTTCATCAAATATTCATGCTAGCAAAGAGACGAATAAGGAAAGCAAAAGAAATGAGGAACCATAAAACAACATCATTTGAGAAGCCAAAAACCAAATTTGATGATGACATGCATTAAGTAAATCATATGCTAAGGGTGACGAGCAGATCATAAAATGATCAGATGATTAAATGTAATGACCAATATAAATGCAAAATATTGATTGAAGGTGAGAAAGAGAACCAGTTTGCTAATGAGAATAACTTACAGAGAAGTTAGAAAATGAAAAGGAATGTAGAAATCATATCTTGGGTCTCTTTCACATACCATCAGTTGTATTAAAAATATCTTTCTTTTGGTTTTGGCAAATATGTCAACCTGTCTGGGATACATTCTTCATTTAGAAAAGACGAAAATCCAATCAATTTATCAATTCACCTTACTGCCAAATTAGATGGTTATTCCACTCTATCCTCAATTATCAAAGCTAGTCAGCAAGTCAACTACAGTAATACAAATCAACACTCACCAAATTTGACAACAATAAAGCCGTACATCTAGACCATATTCATTACTCCTCCCGAGAAGCTTGAATATTCTAAGGAATCAACATTTTAATAAACTCACTAACTGATGCATGCTATGCGTGGATCTTCTGTTAAGTCGCCACCTTTCTATTTAATTCAATAGTCACACTATTGGCATGGAAGAGCTGCCACGTAATCTAATTTTTGGGGATTTAAACTTTATCCAATAATTAATTAGTTAATATCCTGCTAATTGGTAATTAATCAATTACCCACGTAATTAAAAATTATCTCAAATTACTTAAAAACTACTCACTTGTAATACACTTTATACACCTTACTATAATATACTTTACTATTGTGGTCATGTGGTGCCATATAAAATTAATGCATACATTATTATTTTATTAAAATATCCAAGTTAAAAAAAGCATATATTTTCTTAACTTCTAATTTTTCTAATCTCATATAGAGAGTAAAAAATTTCGTACGCTTAATTCTTAAAATGGTAAAAAGATAACCTTCTTTTCTTGTGCAAAAAAATAATTTTTATATTTACAATAAAGAAAATCTCATAAGCTTCTCCTATTTTGTGTATAATTAAAAGTAGTAATATTAATAACTATATAAAATCATATATATTTTCAAATTATTTTATAAAAGTATTCCACTCAAAATACCATATCAAACACATATAACGGTGTCAATGTTGTTAAACTTACGGGGTGTAACACCTTTCCTTGCAACTGGGAAGGCATTGGTTGATGTGGAAGCAGGAGAGCTCACCTTCTGGGTGGGTGATGAAAATGTGGTCGTTCATGTGTGCAAACCAATGAAGCAGCCAAATAGTACTGAAGTGTGCTCTTTTGTGGATCTTGTCATGGAAGTGATAGTTGACGATACCTAGTGCAATAATCAATGTGGAGGATCCTCTAGAAGTGGTGTTGTTGAACCTTGATATAAATGGGGATAAAGGTTGGGTGGAGTGTATCAATGCTTTGCATGGAATGAGCTCTTACTCTTATGAGCCTCGAGGCCTCTCCTTGTATCTTGATAATAGAAAGACTCCTCTAACAAAGCCCTCAATTGAGAAACCCCCATTTTAGAGTTGAAACCTTTGCCCTCACATCTTGTGGATGAATTCTTAGGGCCTAGTTCAACTTTACATGTTATTCTTTCGTCTTGGATTACTAATGTGCAAGTAGATGCAACACTGGAGGTGTTCCAAAGACGGAAGAAGGCAATTGGATGGACTCTAGCTAATATTCGGGGAATAAGCCCCCCCTTTTGCATGCACAAGATTATACTTGAAGATGATGTCAATCCCTCCATGGAACATCAAAGGAGTTTGAATGAGTCTATGCAAGAGGTTGTAAAAAAGGAGGTAATCAATTGGTTGGATGCAGGGGTTGTGTACCCCATCTCGGATAGTTCTTGGACTTCGCCGGTGCAATGTGTGCCGGAGAAGGGTGGTATGGCTGTGGTTACCAATGAACAAAATGAGTTGATTCCCACCAGGACTGTTATCGGATGGAGGGTGTGCATGGACTACCGCAAGCTGAATAAAGTGACCTGCAAGGATCACTTTCCATTGCCCTTTCTTGACTAGATGCTAGAAAGACTTGTTGGGCGCGCCTTCTACTCTTTTCTGGATGGGTACTTAGGTTACAACCATATTTTGATTGCTCCAGAAGATCAGGAGAAAACCACCTTCACGTGTCCGTATGTCACTTTTGCCTTTTCTAGGATGCCATTTAGTTTGTGTAATGCACCGGCTACATTCCAGCGGTGTATGATGGCTATATTTACCGACATGGTAGAGGACTTCTTGGAAGTGTTCATGGACACTTCAGTGTTGTGGGTGACTCTTTTGATGAATGTTTGAAGAATCTTGACAAGGTGTTGGCCGGGTAAAGAGATCAATCTTGTGTTAAACTAGGAAAAATTCCACTTTATGGTCGAGGAAGGCATTGTCCTCGGCCATAAGATCTCAAAGCACGGTATATAGGTGGACAAGGCTAAAATCGAAGTGATCTCAAAGCTTCCTCCTCCTACTTCAGTCAAGGGGGTAAGGAGTTTTCTTGGGAAAACGGGTTCTACTGAAGATTCATCAAAGACTTTTCTAAGGTAGTGAATCCTTTGTGCAAGTTATTGGAAAAAGATGCCAAGTTCGTATTTAATGAGGAATGTATGAAAGCTTTTGAACTTCTCAAGTACAAATTGACAACCACTGCCATTATTACCGCACCCAATTGGAGCTTACCTTTTGAGCTAATGAGTGCCGCAAGCGATGTTGCAGTAGGAGCGGTTTTGGATCAAAGAGTGAATAAGATGTTTCACCCAGTGTATTATGCATGCAAAACAAAGAATGATGCTCAAGTGAATTAAACGGTGACGTAAAAAGAATTGTTATCAATTGTGTTCACAATGGAGAAGTTTAGGCCTTATCTCATAGGCGCCAAGGTGATAGTTCATACCGACCATGCAGAACTCCTCTACTTGATGACAAAGAAGGATTCCAATGCTCAGTTGATGAGATGGGTATTACTGCTTCAAGATTTTGACCTCAAGATTGTGGATCGGAAAGGGTGTGAAAACCAAGTGACGGACCACTTGTCCCGCTTGGAGGAGGAGGGGAGGCTTTGTGATGGACTCAAAATTAATGATTCATTCCCTGATGAGAAACTCCTCTCTAAATCTGTGAATATCATTCCTTGGTTCACAAATGTTGTCAACTTTCTTGTGACCGGTATTGTTTCATGTGAGCTCTATTCTAACCAAAGGAAGAAGGTTAAATGGGATGTCTTGGACTACTACTGGAATGAGCCCTACTTATTCAAAATTTGTAATGATGATGTGATCCTGAGATGGGTTCCGGAAGAGGAGAAAATGAGTATTGTGGATGCTTGTCATTCCTCTCCCTATGGTGGTCATCATGGTAGGGCGAGGACAACTTCAAAGGTACTTAGTTGTGGTTTTTATTGGCCTACATTGTACAAGGATGCGGGTGAGCTTGTGAAGAGATGTGATGAGTGTCAAAGAGCAGGTGGAATTTCAAAGAAGGACGAGATGCCTCTCACCACTATTCTTGAGGTTGACATATTTGATGTGTAAGCATTGATTTCATTGGTCCGTTTATAAGTTCTTGTGGCAACACGTACATTCTGGTGGCAATTGATTTTGTTTCCAAGTGGGTTGAGGCCGTGGCTTTACCTAACAATGAGTCCCAGAGTGTTCTGGCTTTTCTCAAGAAGAATATCTTTACTCGGTTTGGCACTCCTAGAGAAATCATCAGTAATGGGGAATCTCATTTTTGCAATAAAGCATTTGACACTTTCCTTGCAAAGTATGGTGTCAATCACAAGGTTTCTACACCTTATCATCCTCAAGCTAGTGGGCAAGTAGAGGTCTCCAATAAGGAGATTAAGAGAATATTGTCAAAGATGATTAATGCAAATAGGACTGACTGGTCAAAGAAACTGGATGATGCTTAGTGGGCTTAAAGGACTGCTTACAAGACTCTGATTGGTATATCTCCCGGTTGAGTTAGAGCACAAGGCCATGTGTGCCTTGAAAAAGTTTAATCTTGAATGGGATGTTGTAGATAATCTCCGGGTGGAGCGACTGAATGAGCTTGATGAGTTCTGGTTTCATGCCTATTCTAGCTCGTCCTTATATAAGGACAAGATGATGTACTTACATGACAAGTATTCCGGTAGCAAGGAATTCAAAGTGGGTGACTTGGTTCTTTTGTTGAACTCCCGGTTACGACTGTTTTCGGCAAAGCTTAAGTCAAAATGGAGTGGACCTTTTGAGGAGGTGCTTCTGACTCTGTTTGGTACTCTTAATTTGAAAAACAAAAATGGTGAGATCTTCAGAGTTAATGGTCACAGAGTGAAGCACTATCATGGGAAATTTGATGACAGCCACGTGGTGGCAATGATCCATCTCAAGTGATTGATGGTAACCTGTATCGTATCGCGACGTTAAATCAGGCGCTTCTTGGGAGGCAACCCATGTGTTTTTCTTCTTTCTTTTTTGAGTTTCTTCTTAGTATAGGATTTGTTTTTGAACTAACAGGTTGCGAGATGTGTCTAGGGATGTTTGATGCAGTGCAGGACTAAGCTGGAAAAATTTGACACTCTCTGAAGATTGGACCGTTGCCGCACTCCATTTTTCGCAGTCCGCGGTGGCATTATCGCTGAGGCGAGATTTGATCATGGTCAGCGGTGCTAAAAAGTTCAAAATGGATGTTCTCTAAAGTTCCAACTGTGATCGCGGTACATTCTTCGCGGTCAGCGGTGGCTTACCACTGCCGCGTTGCTTTTTCCGCTCTTAGTTATGGTCTCAATAAAGTAGCCTTTCAAGTCTTCACAAGCATGGAACGCGGTGATTAACCACGGCTGCATTAGGTAAATGTAGGGTACCCTGGGCTTTGTCTATAAATAGGCAGTCCGAAGGCCTTTTACCCTTTTTGCCCATTTCACTCTCAAACTAAACACGCTACTATTCATCCACGCCCTAAGCTACACAAACACAGGACTTAGAGTACATTTTCATCGCACATTTCACATCTGGTTAATTCATGCCCTCGTTATTTTTCAATTTTGGACATGTTTTTATTTTAAGTGTAGTTTTGTTTTTACTTCTTCTTCTTCTTCTTCTTCTTCTTCTTCTTCTTCTTCTCTTCTTTTAATTTAGACCTAAGGGTGTTTAATGTTAATTAAGTTAGGCTTAAATTAGTTAGGAGTGTTAATGAATACCTAGTGGGATTGATAATGTTGATTTTATTGCTAGAATGCATGAAAATTAGAAACCCTAGGTTTGCTGAGCCCTAATTTGACTTCCCCGGTCGGCGGTCATATGTTTTATCTGAGAATTTTATGTCCTGATAACCACGGTCAGTGGTGGCAAATTTCGCTGATACTGGTACCTCTTCGCGTTCGCGATGTGTTTTCCGTGGTCCGCAGTGCTCAAGTTCAGAGATATCTAAACAAGGGTCCGCGACCGTGGTTGATTTTTCGCGAACAGCAGTGCAACTACCGCAGCCACACTCTTTTTTTCGCAATCCGCGGTGCAATTGAATCAGAGGGTGGGTAGTCTAAGTCCCACATCTCTGCGGCCGCGATGTATTTTCCGCGGTCCGCGATGCAACCTTTGCGGTCGTGCTCTTTTTTTCGCAGTCTGCGGTTTGCAATTTTCTTCCCATGCACTGTAAATTGTTCTGCTATTTTCTTCACTGTTTCTTCTAGCAACTAACAATATGCAATGTATTATACTTGCAGACAATGAAAAATAAAAAGGGAAAGCGGAGTCCTCCCGGGGTAGGGGACGAGGACATATTAAATTGACCTCAGCAGTTCGGAAATCAATTTGATAAATGAGGAAGAGCATCAGAGCTATAGATAGAGTTGCTTCCCACTCAAAGGTGAGTGAGTATTTTCCTTCCCATGAGGCCTCAGAGTGTGATTCAGTGCCAGCATATGTACCCGACTTCTCGGAGAGACATAGGTTGAGAGATGAACCTACACCCCCAGCCTCTCCTACTTCTCTTGCTGCCTCTTCTACTGAGTTGTCTGATGGCTCAGTAGACGATAGTGAGTGTTCAACTTCAACCTCACCTACAGCTTCGTCACCTGGATAGGATCCCATAGATGATGAGGAATCGGATGACGTGGGAAGGGGTATGACCTAAACCAGGGGTGTGGAAAGGACTACAAACCCTGAAGTGTAGCAAAGGAGGTTTGTTAGTGAGCTGGCATATCACAAGTTTCGGGAGTGGTGGCCTCTAAGGTCACTTATTCATGAGTGCCAGTTCATAGAGCCGGATCTTCTGCCTCACAACCCCAACGTGAACCAGCATTTTAATGAATGTGTGGGATGAAATTACTTCACTAGTAAGGTGTCGGATGCAAATGAGCACTTAGTCAAGTAATTCTACGCCAATGACTTGCACATCAAGAAGGATACAAAATTGACTAAGGTGTGAAACCTGAAAGTAATGTTTGATGGAAAAACAACCAATGAATACCTCGGCTTCAATGATGAAGATGAGACATTGTACTTGGAGAAGGTGGCGATGGATGAGTTATCCCGCCCGTGGTTGGCATCACACCTGGCTCTCCCGGATACCACCTCAGGATGGTTGATAGCAGGGGTTACTATCTTGAGGAACACCCTAAAATTTGAGGCGAAGGGGTGGGGTATGCAGCAGGCTAGACCCCACTACTCATGAAAACACTTTTCCGGTCTCCCGGGTGGTTATAGTGGTGGCTATTATGGCGGGGTTCCCGATCAATGTCGGGAATATCATGTCTAGGGTGATCACTATAGTGGCCAATGAGGGTGATAGATCGTACCACATCCTGAACTTCCTTACCATGTACATGGAAGATCAAGAGGTGGAGAAAAGAAACTTTGATGTCAAGGTAAAACCCAAGATGCCCTTTTCATGGTAGAGCCTCAAGGATCCAGACAACCCTAAATCCAAGGGATCTAAGGGCAAAACTATTGCTTCTACTGGCCAGTCTGAAGAGCCAGTAGTGGTAGTCACTACTTCACAACCTCCCACTGCCATACTAGATCCTGCCTCCGGACCATCTACTTCCATGCCTTAAAAAATCCTATCCTCCTCATCATACCCATTGACGGCTCACAAGTTGAGCCAAACAGTCTCCAGTATCAACAACTGGATGCAGGCAACAACTTCTAAGTTATCTGTGCTATCTAGTTTAGTGGCAGCCCAATCAGTTCCCCCACAACCACATGTGCCAGTTTTGGTAGAGGAGTCTCTCAAGGAGCTTCTAGTCAACCAGAAGAAGTTCCTGGAGAACCAAAAGCTTATAATGGATTCTCTAGCAGTTCAAGGAAAATCACTTCAGGAGCTGAGCAAGCAAACAAGGAAGCTGAAGAAGACTCAGGCCTCGAAGGAGTCTGTGAAGGAGTTGAGGGGGGAGGTGGAGAAGATGAAGGAAGCAGACAACTTACCATTGGAGCTACTATTGCATGATCAGCCTCCAGCGGCTCAGACAGAGCATGTTTAGGAGTAGGAGATTGAGAGAGAGCCCAAGAGGAGGAGAGTGATGCCCCAGGTTGATGATGTAGATATTGAGCAGGCGTAGCTTGAGGGAGTTGCTTCTGTCCCGCCATAGACGAGACAGGTGATCCAGGCGCCCAGCCACAGGAACCCATCCAGCCACAGGAGCTCATGCTGCCACAGAACCTGATGCAGCCAGAGGATCTATAGGAAGTATCCTTTACTCTTTACCCTTCTTTTTGAGCTTTTTTGGTTAGTTAACATTGAGGACAATGTTAGCTTTCATTTGAGAGGGTGGCCCTACTTTGATGAATTGGTAGTTGGTTTGCAATTATGCTACTATTTTCTTTCTTTATGCTTAATTTTCAATTTTGGTATGTATATGACTTTACCATTTATTTCACTTTTCATTATTTTTCGATCTTGGTCTATGTATAAAGTTACTCTCTAATGTATGTATTCATTCCCTCTTATGTATATTCATCTAAACCCCCTATTGTACATATTTAGTTTAGTTTCCGCATTTTACTTCATAGCTTCTTTTGCAACTTCCCTTAATAGTATAGCTTCTTATTTCCTTTAATATCTTCTTGTTTCAATTTGTAGCTTCTTATTTTACAAGTTTTAATGATCAATAGCCTTTTGTTTTCTTAATTCCACAACTCTTTCCAAAGGTGGTGTTTATGTGAACCGGGTGGCTCTTCTCGATGATGGATGTGATGACAACCTTCTTAAGGGTTTAAGTCTGTTTTTCTTTTTGTTTTTGTGTAAATAGTAGTTAGTGAGCAATGGTGCCTCAGGCAAAGCTTCACTTGCGCCTAACACATTTACCTTTGACCTTATGGTTAAAAACAAATTGGTGTGTATAAGATGGTGATAGTTGTGACCTTGAGACTCTTGTGTTGACTAAACAATCATCGAATGGTTTCTCGAAACCATTTGTGTTGCTCAAATCATAGCTAAGGTTGTTGTGGGCCCCTGATATGTTTCTTTAGCAATCCTATTGCTTGTGTGGTGAGATATTGATTTGCAAGTCCAAGTCCCGTGCCAATAAGTCTAGAACTTGCCCTGGATGTTTGTCTAGGCAAAATCCTAAGTGAAGCTCGACTTGAGAAGTGATTATAGGCTCTCCTTGATCCTAATTGAGACTTGAAAACATCAATAGCCTACCAATGATAATATCCCTAGTCAACCCCATAGAGCCATAGCCCTTGTTCTTTCAATAACCATGATACAAGCCTTTATCCGTTCTAAAATAATCCTCTCTTGGCACCCGATATTTCCTTAGCACAAGGCGAAAGCATAAGTTTGAGGGAGAGACAAGAAATGCAAATGTGATAAACGGTACAAAATGAAGAAAAGGAAAGGCAAAAAGAAAAAGAAAGAAAAGCCAAAAATTCAAAAAGAAAGTGACATTGTAGAAGAAACGAAGGGATTCAATTAAAGCAAAAGATGAAAGGCTTGGAATGATTGGAAAAGAGAAAAAGAATTGAAATGAACAAGAAAGAGTGATGGTGTGTCTCTCTAGCCCCTAAGGAAGAAGTAAATGACTCAAAGAGTCAAGAAACTGTGTGCCAGAATGAAGCAAATAAAGTGCTTAAGGGAAGATGAAACCTTCTTAGACCAACATATACTACCCTGAACCAAAAGCCTTTATTACATCCCCACAAAAGCCCTATATGATCTTGATTTGAGTGAGCTTACATTAGTGGTGACTCACATAAAGGGCAAGCTTATGGTACTTAGAGTCGGACTTGTGACCTTCCTTTGAAAGAGATGAGTGTGTTTTCCACAATCCTCATTCTGAGTGCTGCAATCTAAAACTGAGGTTTGCTTGTGAAGAGTTTAGGAGTATGAGTTTAGGTTCCACAACGACCAATGTAACAGAAAGAGTTTCCTTGATGAGTTTAGTCAACTCTTGATCCTTTTGTGTCACACTATAGACATGGTGCTAAAAAGTTATGTATAGTTGATAATGCATTTAAGTTGAGGGTAATTGTTAGTACCAATTGATTCTTGTACAGTTGAATTTTCATTTCTTTTATCTTGCGGAGGTGGGAATTACTTTGTTTGCTTGAGGACAAGCAAAGGTTTAAGTTTGGGGGAGTTGGTAACAAGGGATTCTAGTCTATTTTATGCTCATTTTTTCTTAAGGTTTAGATTTAAAGTGTGTACAAGTATTCCCAAAAGTTATCTTATTGTGCTTGCTTGCAGTGTTTGGTCAA